GAGGCAGAGGAGGAGGAGAAGGAGGAGGAGGAGGAGAACAAGGCTGTGGTTCTGGGGATCATCGAACTGTCGGCGGCGCTGGCAGCAGCAGCAGCAGCAGGAGGAGCAGCAGCAGCAGCAGCAGCAGCAGCAGGAGGATGCCGCGAGCGCCGTCGCGGCCGTCGTCGCTGCGGCAGGCCTTCCTCATGGCGGAGGAGAAGGCCGAGGAGGCCCAGGGGGACGCGTCGGCTACACGTACGTAAGAGTGACCTTTCGTCAGAGTGACCCTTGGTTCGGCCTCTCTCGGCGGCGAGCGAGGGGGGAAAGAGGCCGAAGATAGCAGAACAACTCCCTCCCGGCGGGATTGCTTTATGACTCGGGGGGGCGGCCTGGGGAGGGGCAGTGCCCCGTGGCCCGGGAAGCGCCGTGCACGCGCCAGCCAGCCGCGGGGGGGCCCTCCGTCCGGCAACACGCAAGAGGGACCCCAGGCAAGACTTCGGCGGCGAGCGAGGGAGGGAAGTGAGAAGGAGAAGGCCCTCTCAGAAAGCGGCGGGGCTTCTTTGAAGCCCGCCGGCCTTCTTAGAGAGGTTTTTCGCGTCTGCGAGGAAGGCTTAGGCAACTTCTCAGAAGGCCAGAAGACTTTCGAGCCTTCTGAGAAGGCCCGCCCCTTCTCAGTTCCCCCCAGGCGCGCCGCCTACTCTCAGGGCCCGTACCGGGCCTCGGCACCGTCAACAAACGACCGAGGATGAAGACACGGTTGCAGGGAATGGGTCGAGGCCTCGAAGGGCCACGCGTCGAACAAGCTGGAGCGCCAGATGTCTTGGAAGCTTCTGGCCCCCATGGAGTCGTGGTGCGATCGGGCTGGACTCGGCCGAGCTACCCTGTGGGGTGGGCCCTGGGGTGCTCCACCCCGACGTTGGTATGCGGGGCACCGGGAGGCGCCCTCCCGCGCATGCAGGTGGCTCTCAGACTGGAATGGCGTGGAGGAGGGACCACGCGGGCCATTCGGGCACGGTTGCAATGAGAGTTGGATGACGGCGGTAATGCACACGACAGCGCCGATAGTCGGATACGTCGCGCGGTCGTGGCGTGATGTGTTGGCGTGATGGTGCGGTGTTGCCGTGCTTTGACGAGGTATCTTTTTCTTGAAGCCACGGCGCGGTCCTGCGACGCTGTGAGGCACTTATCTCGCAAGCAGCAGCGGCCTGACGGCGCAACAGTATAAAATTTCGTGGCACGAGGAGGGGGATGGGGACGGGGAGGAGTATGAGGGACAAGAGGGGAAAGAAGAGAAGAGTAACAATGTCTGATTGTGCGAACCTTTCCACGGCGACAGCGTTGCGACGCAACGATGGGCTGATATGTCGGTTTAACGACGTGGTAGCATTCTTTTGCGTCGCATTGTGGCTCGATACTGGAGTCTGTGTATGACCAGAGATTTCCTTCACCACATGAGCGCCTGCCGCCTGTGCCCTAAGCAGCCGCCCCTTCGCGGGCATACAGGCTTGACCTTGGCCTTGCTGGAGTCTGTGCGGCGCTGCGACGTCAGCCTAGGAAGTGCAAGTTTCTTGTGACCTTTGACCGTAGCAGCTTTTATGACGCATGCAGTGACGGCAGCTTGTAATCCCGCATTGTGCAATCCTCGGGGCAAGACGCTGTGAAACCGAGGAAGTGGCGGATGCATGATGACGATTCGGAGAAAGAGCGCGACGAGGCGGGGGGAGGGAGGATGGTGGAGGAGGAGGAGGGAGACGAGCAGAGGGGGCGGGGAAGGGTGGTGAGCGGGAGCAAGGGCGGCAGCAGGACTGGGAGTAGGAAGAGGGAGAACGCGGGGAAGAGGATGGGGATACTGATCCCAATGAGAGACAGATGCTGCTTCGAGTGAGTCCTCGTGATCTCATGGCGGTAGAAGCAGGGAGCTGCGTACGGTGTGGGGAGATCCTGACGTCGATGTCAGTGCCGGTGGACCTGGCGAATCGGGAGCAGTTGATCCAGAGTGCCAGCACATCGCTGAACTCCAAGGCAGCCCTCGTCCTCTTCGCATTATTTACCCTACTCCCCAGCCGCCCAGCGGCTTGGAGCCGGCTGGGGGGCTGAGATGGCCCAGCATTCGTTCCCGCCAGCAGAGAGGATGGAGAAAAGGGCCTCCTCGGCGCCACGGCTGGACGCGGCTCGAAAAACTATTCAGTTTCGACCCTGGCAGGGGTATGGGGACCGATTTTGAGCGATTTTGCCGCCCTCCCACCTTCTTGACCGATTTTCTCTGGGCTTGTCTAGCTTAAGACCCCCAGGCCGCCTCCAAACTGCGGGCTCTCTATACGTTTGCGCACTAGCAGAGCCACGAAGACGTTCCGTACAGGCTCCTCAGGAGCCACACCCAGCGCGAGCATGACCATACATTTTGCATGGGATTCTGGCGTAGTCGAGGATTCGCATCCTCATGAATTCAAGAGTTCGTGCCTCCTGAGGACGTGCGTCATCCTGTCAATGGGTAGCTGTCTAAAAGTGACATATGCCATTATTCCGAACTACAGTTTTCTAGAATGAGGATGCTGAGTCGATGCGGGAGCATTCTCATACCTCGAATGTAGGATTGGAGGTAACCTTGAGCGGGCGGCTTCCCGATAACCTTGACATCAAGCTCGGGCCTTGACCCGCACTGCTGTCCGAACTCATGGTTCTAAGTATGCGGCTGTGTCAGTTCGCTGCATGCTAGAGATGCGGTTTTGTACAAGGAGTGGAGTTCAATACAGAAGGCTGAATTCGTTTCGGCATCTGCCTAGTGAATGTTGACCTCTGCGCAGATAATGATATGTATTATCTTCGGTTGCTGCGTCTGCTGCTGCTTATGCGTGTCACTCTCACAAGTTTATCTTGTTGGCGTGGGCGAATGTGCGTGGCAGCCTATCTGCCACAAGTGTAGAATCTCACGGCGTATTTTGACAAGTTTGAGCGGACGGATCGTGATGCGCGTCTTCCATGTTGCCTTACCGGGTGGTAACTTACGACATCACCAACTCCCGTGTTTAAAACACTAGGAGTGGAGCCAAACTCAGAAAAACGAAACCATGCCTCAGCTTGCCATTCGGACGTTGAAGCTGCCTGGTCTTGTGTTTCCTGCAACACGTGGATTTTTTTTTGGTCGATGTGTTCGTCTCGCGTCGCCTTCCTGCTGCCAGTGCTGCTTTTGCTCCCTCGGATCTTTCTCATTATCTCTCTTCCAGGTATCTTGAACGAGCAAGCTGATTGTCCGCGATCCCTGTGTTCAATGTTTCTCGATTCCATGAATCGCATCAGATGCGCACGCTCGCTAATTCGTCCAGTCACGGTCCGAATCAGAAGTGTAACCCGTCCGTTTGCTGAGATCGTGCGCTGGATGGTCTGCCGATAAAGCCCAAGTAGTGGGTCTCGGGGTGGGTCTGTTCGTTCATCCAGATGGGTCGTCACATACCGCCCGACCGGACACAGGAGACGGGTCTAGCACGCAACCGGCAAGAAAGAGCCCTCCCAGTCTCAGCGGGACGTTCTATCGGTGGCCTCGTGAATATGCTACCAGGCTCACAGTCAGGTCGCGAATAAGTGAGCTGTCGCGTGTGTGGGAGTGCATCAGGGAGAGGGACGTGAACATTGTGTAACTTACGAGGGATCGTGGCCTCCAAGGATCCTGGCTTCGGGGACGCGAATCTTGTACAATTTACGGGGGATCGAGGCCTCGGACACGCGAATCTGGTGTAATTTACCAGGGGTTGTGGCCTTGAGGACGCGAGCATGGTGTAATTTACTTAGGGTCTTGGCCTCGGGGACGCGAGTCTCGCGTAATTTGGATCGTGGCTTCGGGGACGCGATTATTTCTTAATTTACGAATGATTTACTTGGGACCGTGGCCTCAGACGGGAGTATTGTATATTGTGCACAAGGATAGTGGCCTCGTGGACGCGAACATGGCTAATTTACAAGTGATCGTGGTCTCGGGGACGCGAACATAGGGTAACTTATGAAGGATCGTGGCTTCGGAAGCGCGAATATGGCGGGAGTGCCAAGGGATTGCGGCTTAGGGGACGCGAACACGGTGTAATTTGCGAAGGATCGTGGTCTCCGGGATTCGAATTTGGAGTAATGTACACAGGATCATTGCCTCAGGGACGCGAATATCGAGCCTTTTGCTAGCGATCATGGGCTCGGGGACGCGAACGTCAGATTATTTGCTAGGTATCGTTGCCTCGAGGACGCGAGGCTGGCGCAATTTGTGAGGGATCGTGGCCTCGGGGACGCGAAGTTGGTATAACAATTTGCAGGCGACCGTGGCTTCGGGAACGCAAATCTGATGCAATTTTCCAAGGGTCTTGGCCTCGGGGATGCGAGCACAGTGTAATTCACTAGGCATCGTGGTCTTGGGGACGCGAATGCGGAGTCATGTGCGAGGGGCTGTGGCCTCGGGACTGCGAGCTTGGTTCAATGTGCGAAGGCCCGTGGCCTCGACTGGGCGAGCGTTGGGTCATCTACGAGGGCTCGTGGTTTCGGTAACGCGACTTTGGCGTAATTCATGATGGACCGGGAGCGCGAATCACATGTTTTTCCCCATATCCTACGGATGAGGTTCTTGCCATTATCCCCACCGCGCCAAGCATGCGAACCCACCCCCCTCCTCTTCCTCTTGATGCTGTTGATGCTGATGGTGATGACGATGATGATGACGATGATGACGACGACGACGACGATGATGGTAAATTTGATGATGATGACGATGATGCTGCTGCCGATGATGATGATGACGATGATGCTGCTGATGATGACGATGATGGACGCGATGATGCTGCTGATGATGATGGTGATCATGCTGATGATACTGATGACACTGACGATGATGCTGATGATGATGGTGATGATCATGCTGATGACGTTGATGATGGTGACAATAATGATGACGTTGATGATGATGATGCTGATGATGCTTATGATGATGCTCATGTTGATGCTCATGACGGTGATGCTGATGATGTTTATGTTGCTGCTGCTGCTGATGACGGTGATGCTAATTATGAGGATGATGATGGTGACGACGACGAAGATGATGCTATTGCTGATGATGATGATACTGGTGTGATGATGAGGCTGATTCTGAAAATGCGGTGGCTGCTGCTGATGATGATGATTGTGATGATGACGACGACGATGATGATGGTGATGGCGATGGCAATGATGATGATGATGCTGATGCTGCTGCTGCTGATGATGATGATGGTGGTGGTGGTGGTGATGATGATGATGAGGATGATTATGCTGCTGCTGATGATGCTGATGGTGATGATGATGATGATGATGCTGATGCTGATGCTGATGCTGCTGCTGCTGATGATGATGATGCTGATGATGATGATGATGATGATGATGATGTTGATGATGATGATGATGATGATGATGATGATGATGATGATTATGATGATGATGATGATGATGATGATGATGATGATGATGATGATGATGATGATGATGATGATGATGATGATGATGATGATGATGATGATGATGATGATGATGATGATGATGATGATGATGATGATGATGATGATGATGATGATGATGATGATGATGATGATGATGATGATGCGGCCTCCCAAACATCCTCTGCTTTCGGAACCACTTGTGAAGACGTCTCGGGCGAGGCGCCTGTTTTCGCCCCCCTCAGGGGGGGGGGCAGGCGATATTACACGTGCCTGTTCGCGCGCAGATTGTGGGGATGCCTCAGGCAGTTTGCTGATCTGCTTGCCTCACATTTTAGTTTCAGCTCAGTTTGTGAGGATGTCCCAGGCGAGGCGCTGGTTTCCGCAATCCTCAGGAGGGGCTCCATGGGTGTGTGTGGGGGGGTACTGCACGGGCCCGTTCGCGCCAAGATTTTGGGGATGTCTGAGGCGGTTTGCCTGTTTGAATGCCCAGCGTTCTTTGGTTTTGGTGCAGTTTGCGAGGATGTCTCACGCGAAGCGCTGGTTTTCACACCCCCCCGGGGGGGGGGGCCCATGGGGGTATTGCACGGGCCCGTTCGCACCCAGAATGTGGGTATGTCTCAGACGGTTTGCCGGTTCGCGTGCCCAGCATCCTCTGGCTTCGGGTCAGTTTGTGAGGATGCCTCGGGTGAGGCGCGGGTTTTCGCACCCCATTGTGAGGACGTCTCGGGCGGTTTGCCTGCTTCGGTGACCAGACCCGTCTGCGTTCAGAGCAGATGCTGAGGCTGTCTCGGGTGAGGCGCTGGTTTCAGCACCGCCAGGGGCTCATATTGCGGGGACGTATCGGGCAGTGTTTTTTTACACAGCCCCAACATCGTCCGCTTTCAGAGCAGATTTTGAGGATGTCTCGGGCGAGGCGCTGGCGTTCACATCCCAGCGGGGGCCCAGATAGTGAGGATGCCTCGAGCGGTATGCATGCTTTGGTGGCCAGACTCGTCTGTGTTCAGGTCGCTTCCTAGATGTTTTACGTGTGGCCATATAGTTTGCCCCTCCACTGGGGCTCCCTTTACTCCTATGTGCTTTACATCTATTTCTGTAGTTTGGGCATTTCTGGGGGCATGAATCCTTGGTGTTTTACGCATGCTTCTGGAGATTGCCCTTCTCCTGTGGCTCCGATCCTATGTGTTTTACGTATGCTCCTACGGATTGGGCCTCCTCTGAGGCACGCATCCTCCCCAGGAGGCGCCAGGAGGCTCGAGCAGGCAGCAGGAGGCCCCAGGAAGTCACAGGAGGCATCAGGAGGTGCCAGGAGGCCCCAGCAGGCCCCGAGAGGCCCCAGGATGCCCCAGTAGGTTCCAGGAGGCACCAGGTGGCCCCACGATGCCCCAGGAGGCCCCACGATGCTTTAGCAAGCCGCGGGAAGCCCCAGGAGGCCACAGGATTTGCTCTAAGTCTTTGTGTGTTCCTTATGTTCCTACAGCTTGCCCATGTGTGTGTGTGTGTGTGTGTGTGTGTTCCGTGTGTTCTTATAGGGTTGGTTTCTCCTGAGGCACACATCCTTGGTGCCTTACGTCTGTTCCT